GCCAAGGTCCTCATCTGTTTGTTTACTTGGCTTTCAGCCACCGAGATTCTGGTCTTGTTATTAAAGGAAATTCTCATTAAGCGTGTCTCGGCTTTCATTACTGGATAGAGGGGGTCAGAACAGGTCTCTAAAATATTTTCCAATGTACAATAAAAACACATACTTTGTGTAGATTTGCTATACTGAATTTCTGATGTTTTGGTTTTTTATTGTTACTAAATATAAATTTATTTTAATGGAATCACACTTTAAATTAACTGTCCAAATTGTGAGAATGTTTAGTCATGTCTAACTTCCATTCTGAATAGTCTGTTTCCTGTAACTATGATGGATCTAAGCCATATACTGAATGATTGGTAATTAAGGGTTAAAGTTACAAACTTAGTCGCTAAATATATGAAATCACTATGTTGAAGAACAACAATATTTAAAACTTGACTCTGTTTTTCGAAAGTACACATTTTAAAAATGCAAAAGATTACTATTAGAAACTTACTTTTACCAGTCTTCCAGGTTGTAAAAATGGCAAGCAGTACTTTGGTTTATGAATATATTCCTCTATTTCTTTACCCAGTTTAGCAAGTTGCTGTCTAATTTTATAATAGATGATCACATTTTCTTCATTTGGAATTTCAATCTCATTATACTGCTGTTCCAAATTATTAACTTCTGCAAATACATATTGTAAAAAAAAAAAGGTGTTATATCGAGGACCCAATATTGTAATGAACTATGACTCTGATTTTTCCCAGAAAAAGGACACTATCTACTCATAGAAAAATATCTGTAGGGCTTAGAGACTTTGTTATCTCTTCCATGTCCTTCTCAATATGTCCCAGAACATAAGGAATCTCATAGGGAACAATATGTTTTATGCTGGCTTAACTGCCAAGGGAGGACAGAACAGGATTTATGTTGATGAGAATGTGTGGAGAGGTTATCCTCTATTCTCATTTTTAAAGACCAATTTGCACATTATATTATTAAAATCTTCATGATACTAACATTTGTTTTAATACAACAGGATGCAGAGAACATTGGTATATTTGTCCAAAATGTTCAGGGGAATTAGTGGTAAATTTCAACTTGTTGGTATGCCTTAAAAGGCCTCCAATATTTTAAAAATATTAATTCTTATGTTTTTAAAACAGCAAAATCCGATGAATTTTAACCTGAAGCTCTGCTCAAAGGGTCTCAATTAGGAGATTCCAAGCATATAATAGGGGAAACATGTGACTCTTATGTATTGCTGAAATACTGCTGTGCTAGAGATCTTTCCTAGAAGTTTCATGCCTGCATATCAGAGTAGGCTGTTTAATGGCCAGACTCTGTAAGATAATATTACCATTATCTTAGCTGAAACTATAAAGCAAACAGGCTGTCCTATTTCAGCTACAGCAATTTTCCCCAGATACAATAATAAGCCCTGTGATCACATTATCTTAGTGGACAAAGTACGATTATCTGTGCAACCAATTCTGCAGACCCCAAGAGATTTTTCAAAAAAACAATTAAAAATGTATAAGACACAACATAATCGTTCAGAGTGGTTCACAAATTACACTAAAAACACACATATAAAAAGCCAGAATAAAACAAAACAAACAAAATGCACAAAAGCAAAAATTACTGGAAAAAGTATGCATATTAGACCTTCTGACCTGGAGAGACCTGTGTAATTAAGAAGAGGCCTTGCTTTGTTCCAGTAGTAGTTTATTCAGTTATGTGGGTCTTTGTTCATAGGCAGAGCTGAATTGGTTGTTATTAAACAAATCCATGGGGAGACCCATAAATGGTGCCCTAAATGTGTGAGATAGACTGTAGGGTTGCTCCCAACCTCAAAAACCTGCAGGGGAAATCTACTTTGGAACAGTGGGTCATTGTGGTTTAGCATTTATGTTTTATTCAAAGAAAGGAAATAAGAAACTACCGAGTATTCTCCAGCTCTGTGTGAACAGCCATTGTGCTAAATTGCGGTTTTGTAATAGGATAACAATTGCAGCAGAGAACATTGTGGAAGTAAAGACTTTAGGACAATTGTACATCAACTTTCAAACTATTAGGTATAAACTTACTTTCAACTACTCCCGGAATAGCTCTGTAATGCTGGAACTGGTAAAAAGATTTTTCTAACATATATTCTGGATTTATTTCTTCCACACGCAGCAAATTTAGTACCATGTTATAGGTCAAATGGAAAGCGCTGTTTAAAGGGTCAGCAGATCCCTAGAAAGAAAAATAAGATTAGATAAATTAGATAGCATAAGGAATTAGAATCATGAAAGATTTTATCTAAGGACAGAAGTTATCTCCCTATTTTAAATACCGTATTTTTCGGAGTATAAGACACACAGGATAAGATGCACCAAGGTTTTGAAGAGGCAAATTAAAAAGAAGTTTTTGCACTCAGCAAAACCTCCAAAAAACGGCCGTTTTTCTGCGAAAACCGACCCCTTTCTTCCTATAAAAGGCATGAATAGCCTTTAAGAGGCTTGTAGAGTGCTCCTGGGTGCTTGGGGGGGGGGGCAAAATTGAGCAAAAAAAAGGCAATTTTTCACTAATTTCTGCCCTCCCCAGCCCTCAAAAGTTCTGAAAGCCTCCTAAAAGCTATGCACTGCCATTTTGGTGAATGAGGCAGGGTTTTGGGAGGCAAAAAATGCTGTATTCAGTGTATAAGTCACACCCAGATTTTCAGCCTCTTTTTTGAGGGAAAAAGGTGCTTCTTATACTCTGAAAAATTCAGTAATGCCTGAATGAATACAACTTGTGCCTAGTAAGAACTCTGCCAAACATTTCAGATGTCATATAATTCCAAAGTAGGTCTAATAGGCAAACCTGCATACATAGGGAATCCTCTCAACATGGAAGATGAAAATTCCATAGATTCCCATCTCTATCTCTAACCCTCCCAACAATGATACAGACCATAAGTATGGCAAACATGTTGATTTAAAAAAAACATAGCAAACTATTTTTGCTATTATCACTGAAAGCCATCATTACTATATTCCTCAGTCTATTTGTTCTAGCAGGGAAGATTTTTTGTTTGTTTAGAATCTTTAGAAGATAGTAGAAACTAATTTCCTTAGCGACGGTGGGGTTGTCTCTGGGTAGCTGATGTACCAATGGCTCAGAAGGGAGAAGCATGATGATTTAGAGCCACTTTTTCTTTAGGAACCTGTATCTAGGTTTCTATTGGTAGGTTGTAGTGCTTGCAGGCTCTCCAGTAACAGGCACTCTATACAGCCTAACACAGTGTTTCTCAACCTTGGCAACTTGAAGATGTCTGGACTTCAACTCCCAGAATCCCACAGCTGGCTGGGGGATTCTGGGAGTTGAAGTCCACAGGACTTAAAGTTGCCAAGGTTGAGAAACACTGGCCTAACACATAAGCAATCACTGTTTTAAAGATACAAGAGGAAAGTACCATCTTGCCTGGCCCCTACAAAGCCTCTTAGAAGGCGCTGCCTCAAAAATGTCACACACCATTGACTCATATCTAGAGGTTAGGGGTGGGTGAGGATTCTCAAAGTTATATTTTCTCCGATGGCTCTATTTTTTCTAAGCAGCTAAATGTAGAGAAGAATTATTGGAGGAGGGGGAAATGGCTCTTACGGTTCCTAGAGCATTATTGTCACACAACCACTTTAGCTTTCTAAGAAGGCTCATAAAATTCAAGCCACCAATCACTTCCTAACATTTTTACATTTTGCCTCAAGCCCTATCAGAGGTTTTAATGGTTTTGTCAGGAAATATGTACCAGCTTTCTTAGACTGAAAACCATGAGCTGAAAGGAAATCCCAATGACAGATGCAATGACATTCTTTTAAATAAGATTTACAAGGTCAATGCTTTAGCAAGACAACAGAACCCATCTCCCAAGCTGTGTCAACGTATGGTCCAAACAACTCCTACAGCAATTTCCCAAATATCTGGTGTTAGTCCATCAGGATGTTAACAAATTGTATAAGGTCACAGGTTTTAGACCAGACTCAATGCATTTCTTGGCCCATGAAAGAGCACCTCTGTCACATTCAGACTCCAATGGCAGAAATTAAAGGCAGATTACACTCCGATAGTAGAGAACCATCCAGGAAGAAAGATTCATGTGAATCATTCATTAGCTTTATTGTCAACAGGATATCAAATGTATACACAGAATCTTGAAAACTGAGTAAGCCAAAATCCTAGCACTCATTTATTAAGGAATTCATTGACAGGGCATCTGAAAGGCATGTGAATCCCCTTTTGCCAGAATCCAAAATGTTAAGGGCTAGTTATCATTTTCCAGATAAGACTCACCCTGAAAACACATCTGCTTATTGTTAAGTGTGTTTTGAAATACGGGCCATTTCTTTTCCAGTCCTAGAATCATTTCCAGAGATTATCTTTATAGCAGCTATGTTAGAGGAAGTCCTGGTCAAAACTAAAGTAAAACAGAGAGGCTTCTTGTCAGGATCAAGCTACAGGCCCAGCAGCTGCTCAGGAACTATCATTTTTCTGTCACATACCATGTTGACCTAAAGCAGAAGTGGGGAACTGTGGCTCCTTTATGACTTCTGGACTTCAACTCCCAGAATTCCTGTGCCATGCTGGCTCTGGAATTCTGGGAGTTGAAGTCCTCAAGTCATAAAGGACCCATCGTTTCCCACCCTGGTTAAAGCATTAATCTTTGAAGATCCAATAGTATGGAGACATCTTTGTCTACTTTCCTAGCACTGGATCCTCAACATATATTTTTAAAAAAGGTGCTCTGTGTAGGTAGATCTGCTCTTGAAGCAAAAATTGTGAGAATTGATCAGATCAGTGTCAAACAACAAATATAACAAACCTGATCAACTGGCCCATAACACAGAGTTTTCTGGACCTTAGTTCACTCAAGCATCTACAATAAGAACATCCACAAATCAAACACAAGGAGCTTAAGACCCTCTGCAATCCTTTAAATAGCAGATACTCAAGAACCTGACTAGTGATTCTCAAAAGGGTTTTCCTGAAATACCAGAGATCTCTAGAAATCCACCAAGTGGCTCACCTCAGACATCCTATATTAATAGGGCATAGACTGTTCCCTAACTGTGCAAAGGGTCAGTTGGCCAGAGTCTGCTTATCATTTCAGTGCTCATGTTAACAAGTCAGATAAATTCCTAATTTTATCTAACTTGCCCATATAACACTGAATCCTTAAAGACACACTAAATATCTCTACAATGCCACTATAGACAAAGGAAGCGATCACAGGCATGCTGCTTTTCTTTCTTGAAATTCTCAATATTTTGCAAGATGCTCTCTTAAAATATAAAATTAGCTGTCTGGGATTTTTTTTAACAAAATGATTTAAAGAAAACCATCAGAACACTAAATACTGTACCACTGCTGAATGCCAAGTCATCCTCTCCTGCCAGATATTTCATGCCAGACTCTGGCTGGCAGGTCACATCCTTTGACAAACTGAGGTCTGTTAAGTTTTTCAAAGCCTGCCCACACATGCAATGTTTGGAAACATATGCAGATGAGTTAATGTAAAACCAGGCAAACCTGCAATTAGGTCTGGGAGTTCAACTGATATTTATACATGGAGCCTCTACAGTAGCACAGATTCCAGCTTATTTGAAGACTTGTGCCTTCATCTTGCAATAAATGGGCCAGAAGATGACTTTCAACGACAAATTAATCAGAAGGATAAATGGAACAAAATAAACAGTAAAACACAAAGTAAAACAAAACTTCCTTAGTGTTCTTCATCAAGACCAGCAACTATCTGTCTGAATATCTGTTGCAACAGCACTGAGGACAGCATTACCAACCGTGATCTGAAGGGATCACACAGCAATGTTTAATTCTCAGTTTCAGGATCCTAACCTAGATCATTATAATGTGATCTAGTACGTTTAGGATCCTAGCATACATTTCCAAGACATTCCTAATTAGAGAGATACTTTTCAGAACTACAGCATGTTTTTACAATAATAAATATGCAAAAAAATGCAAACAGTTGGGCACAGGAATGCAATAAAAAGTCAGCTGGTACTTGTACAAATTTTCCAGATTATTAAAGAAATAATGAAAACGGTGCTGCTTTTGCCTAATTCTGGAACTCCGAATTATGTGCCTTATCAGGAAATTAGTCTTGAAAATTAGCTTTTGAGTTGACCTTCCTTGAAACAAAGCTTATTAGGAAAAAATAATGCTCTAGTGACTAGTACTAAAATTTCTAAGCTATAACTAAAACATTACATTATAATACAGGACAAAGAATTGGTAGAATACCATGCTCTTCAGCTATCATAGCCAAGAATATACTTTATGTTAATACCAGAATGAATTACTGTCACTGCATGTTTCTATATGCACTATTGCTGTATGTTAAAGGACAGTATGCCATTCATTCACATGAGAAGAAAAAATATTACAAGGTCTACTCAGTAGTTTAAACATAATTATTTTAGGCTTACAGCAACAGCATATCTATTGGCATTGTGAAATAAATCACCTATTTTCGGTCCTTGTACCCAATAAAATAATTAATGAATTTATCTTTTCTCTTCTGGTGGGAATGACAGGCCAGTATTTAATGTATATGTGATAAGCTATATATTTCCGTTTTATCATGGTGTGCATCTTATATCTGTTGCAATCAAAGAGACAAATGGACATCAAGAAAAACGGCAAACTTATAGAACAGAAAGAGGGCAGCAGTTTTAATTACGAACTGCCTGTTCTGCATATGATGAATGCATATTTATGAAACAAAGGCTCTGGTTTGTTTATACTACTCCATATCCTCAATCAAAACTCCCCACAATGATCCACAAAATATGCTGTGTTATTTCATACTATTTTAAATGAAAGGAATAATAATCCAAATTATTTGATTTAAAAAATCACCTTAACTATGTGTTCAGTTCATTGGAATGTATTCTATAAACCTACATGCACAACTCAGCATTTTCAGTTCATGCAATGTGACATTCCAATCAGTAACTACTAACAAATATTTGATTGTTTGAAACCTAGAGTGCCTCAGTTTAAAAACAAAGCTGTAATAACTTACATATTGATCACATGTCATAAGTATACTTGAACTGGGCCAAAAGAGAAACAAAATGAAACTTAGAACATTTTTGATAGAAACTTTAAAATTTGAATGCAATCAGTACTAATGCAAATGAGCATGCTGCATGGTAAAATTCTAGGGGTGCCAAATCAGAGCAGATCTTAACCCACAAATGCAATCCATATTGTTCTGACTTAAATAGGCCTGGCCTGTATCCATAACAAGATAAATTACCCCCAGTTTCAGAAGGTAAAGTTCCATAAAAATAAAAGCTATTCCTGAATTACTTCAGACCAGACTACAGCATTCCAGAAATGCATTAGGCTATTTTGCATTTAATTATGTTTCTCACACATTTTCAGAACTTTCTAATCAGACATCAAAATACCTTTAGAAGTTGTTTTCCAATTGTTGGACTCATCTTTTCATCCACCATTAAAATGACTATTCCTCGATCATCCATGCCTCGGCGGCCAGCACGGCCAGACATCTGAATGTATTCACCTGAGGAAATCTGAAAATATAAAGAAATTAAGACAAAATACCAATGCACCCTCTAACACTATCAATATATTATATCTAACATAATATCGTAAAATAATTCACATCTTAAGTCTACACTGAGTAGTTTCTCTCTCAAACTCTTCTAATTAGAGCTGGACAGATGAGTCCATCTTCTGGTGAACAACAAGACGCTACCCAGTAAATCTGGCTATTGGAAGCACAGCAACACTGTAATACAGGATATTCCCAAGGTGAGTGAGAACAAGTTTTACAATACTGTGACCAAAAGCCACATCTGTGGATACGAACATAGCTACTTAAAACTAGATGGCTCCATCCAGATGATTGCCCCATAATGCCTATTTAACAGCATTGATGCTGATATGGTGGTTAACTGAGCATCTTTCCTTATCAAAGTATTGTGGTGATACATAGAGGTTGTCTGTGGATGCCCCCATGTTTTCTGCAACAAAATATTACTCCTCTCCCTTTATTGTATGTTTGGGATAGATTCTTAGAGCCTCTGCACAGTCAGGTTTCTAACAAGGCTATCTTCTAGGATGGACTGGACTCATTGGGAAGCATTATTTTGTGCATGAAATAGGGAACTGGTTTTGTTATCAAAAACTCCAATGGAAATTGTACTCATCTCCTCTAAGAGTGCCAGAAGATACTCAATTCTACTTGCTGAGATTAAGGCAGCAATCCAGGTAAGAATATTGATCAATACCCGAAGGGAGTGTTTCTTAAGATTGTGTGTACCAAGCTGGAGGTCATATAAGGGAACAATAAATAGTGTGAAGTAAAAGTGTCACAACCCTGAATACATGGGTCTACCCATCTATGCAGCATATTTTCAACTGATCCTTTCACCAGCCTGCCTTTAGGAAATCCAAGAAGTGAGAGATTCCTGATCCTGGAGTCACACCTTTCTGGGTTTTAGGCCATGGTTCAAAGTTGCTTTATCAATCAATAAAACCAGTTGCCCTGAGGTCAGGATGATCAAATGGACTTATGCATTAAAAAAGTGAAAGATAAATAAGTCCAACAGAAAGCAAATATAGGGAGATACATGTCACTGTCTGTTAACAAAGGAAAACAATTCAGTACCAAATTATCCTGTCCCCCAGCTTATACCTTCTGATTGTATTGCAATTGCAATTTCTGTAACACCTACTATGCATATTCATTGGTACTGGCTGGTTGATGGTTAATTACAACACATTTCAAGATTCTTAAATTAACAATTAACAGTGAAATGATAGATATACTTCATTCTGGTATTTTATAAGGTCTCCCTGCTTTTCTAATATGGACACATGATTGCATGTTTACTAGATGTGAACAAAACTGAAAATATTCCAGATTTGGGATAGATAAATTTCAACAACCCCTGTGCACACAACTTATATATTCCAGGTCTACCGCATATCAATACGCATGGTCTGTATCCAGACAGGACACATCCATGCAAACGACAATTCACATAGATCATGTTTCCCATCTTCCCAATGCTTACCCATCGAAAATCTTTCCCATCGTACTTCCGGGCACTTGTAAACAGCACGGTCCTTGCTGGCATGTTTATTCCCATAGCAAAAGTCTCTGTAGCAAATAAGGCCTAAGTGAAGATAGCAATGTATTTTAAAAAATCATTACCACATACTAAAGTACCCAGATTCAACTACATAGTTTAAAGTCATAAGTAAGAAAAAAACAGATAACTAACAAATTCTCAATGTACAATTAATTTGTATAAGGCAAAAGTAAAGGGTCCCCTCGCACATATGTGCTAGTCATTCCCAATTCTAGGGGGCGGTGCTCATCTCCGTTTCAAAGCCGAAGAGCCGGTGCTGCCAGAAGACGTCTCCGTGGTCATGTGGCCGGCATGACTAAATGCTGAAGGTGCAAGGAATGCTGTTACCTTCCTACCAAAGGTGGTTCCTATTTTTCTAGTTGTATTTTTACATGTTTTTGAACTGCTAAGTTGGCAGAAGCTGGGACAAGTAACAGGAGCTCAAACCACCAAACTGCCGAACCTTCTGATTGACAAGCTCAGCGTCTTAGCTACTGAGCCACCACATTTCACAATATAGGCCTGAACTAAAAGGTATTTGTTATTCTTTATTAGTCAGATGTCTCTATATTAAACACACAGATGTACACACTTGGTGTTCAGCACTCTTTCATTAATGAGTTTCTTGCATGAAAAGGTAATTAGTAATTGAACTCCTCTATACTTTCAAAAGTATTTAAGGTGTACAAAGCTGTCATAAGTTACCTGAACACCATATGTTTTAGTAGGAAGTTCATCAAAAGACCCAAAATTACTGGTTCTTCATCTCTACTCAGCCACTATTCATTATTTTGAACCACTTTAAAATTTTATTTGAAAAACAGACTCTCTAAGTTCTGGTATAATGTTGAGACTATATGGCTATATCATAAAACACAGCACAACACAATAAAAATTATTTTTTTCTGACCGAATTTAGTTGTGAAAATATGTACAGAGACTCAAATACTGAAAATGGTGTATTACAGTAAAAGGTTGAAAGTACATACTTTTATCAGTCCTTCAGAGAAAAGAATTTCTATGGTTTCCTTCAAAATAGGAAGTAAGCCCCCATGATGGATTCCAATACCACGTTTTAAAAGTGGAAGCACATGTTCAACCTGTATGTCCAAAAATAAGAGATGAATCTTATTCCATATTTTACTCATTTAGCACTAGGATTAAAACAGATGTGGAAAATTATTTCGTGGTGGCAATATCACAGATATTCAAATACTAATATACTAATCTCAAAAGAAACAAGAAGGCTCTAACGTTTGATTTCCCCAACTGATTCTTGTTAAAGCCATCAAATATACAAAAGCCAAATCTTAAAAGACAGGAGTGTTCAAAAGGTAAAGCTAACATTGCAACAAGTCCAAATGACATATGGAAGTTTCAGAAAAATCTAACATGTTAGAAGAAAATAAACAGAATGGCACAGAAATGAGTCCTTACATCTACAGAAGGCCCTTTGATAAGGTTGAAATCAGGGAGAAGATGAGAAGGGAAAGCATTTTTGTTAATTAGGGCAAAGCACTCAAACAGGAATTTCGCAAAGGTTGCAGAAGTGTAGCATTAGCATTAACAAAATATTAAAACAGACATCACTTGTGGAAGGCTCAGTGCAGCTGCTTGCAAGGCTTTTTCTCCATTTGTCTCAGCATGTATTTGCATGTAGTTCCACAATTCCATTATTGTTGTTGGAATTTAACTATCCTTAACACATTCATGTACAGTTACGATACAAACTCATGTATCTTTAAGCACTCACTTGTGGGAGCTTCTTGTCTTCATCAGATAAACAATCGATTGCATTGTTAAACACTTCCTCAACCATCCTTTTTTCTTCATCTGAAAGACAAAAGGGTATGAACTAATCTTTTTCCTTATTCCTCAGAACAGCCATGTTTATAACCAAAATCTAACAAGAAATTTGTTAAAAAGATACACTAAAAATGAATTAACTGAGATATTAGGCATATATTGAATAAGCTGATAATACATTTCTTCTCACTCTGATGGACAGATATTTTTCTGGGTTTTTTTGGGGGGTGTGTGTTAGAGTATCTCATAACAAGTTACAGAATTTTTTTAAAAGTCAAAATAAATTAAATATAATAGTTCAAGTAAATTTGTATTCGGTAAAACTGAATTTATTAACTACATTTAAGAAAGAACTCACTGGCCAATTGAACCTATTTTGACCGTTTCCCTCTTAAATACTACTAAATATATTTATTTCTTCTCTATGTATTGCTTATTTTAAAATATCCTCTAGATTCTTGAAAACAAACTGTGATATAAAATAACCACATTCTAAAAAAATGTTTTAAGAAGGTGGCCAGTATTATAAGAAATATGACACTAAGAGGGACCAAGGCAAATTTCAAAAGCAGATCTTAGTACATCGTTTGTCAAATGAAAGGGGTAAAGAAAGTTATTGGGGGGTTCTAGCTTTTTGACTAGAGACCACATATCTGTTTAGATTCTAGTCACTAAAAAGTCAATAGTAATGAACATTGATGAAGAATAAACTAATATTTAGAAGTGAGTAGAACACACCTGTGTTGAAATCCAGTTTTGTCATTTGAAGTGCATAGGCTTCACAATCTTTCTTACTGAAACTGAATATAATTACTGGTTGGAAGTTTCTTTCCATGATCATCTTTACAATCTTAAATACATTTGAGGGACCTATGAAGATAGCAATGCCAGCAAATATTTTAGATTTTGAAGATGAAAAGATCGCAGTTTCTTCACTTTAACTTCAAAAACAACACCTGCAATATAATTATCTGACGAAATTTATACCAACCTTTGGTTCCTCCTTTCCTGCCTTTCTGGTCTCCTTTGGCTAAATCACCTGCATCTCGAAGTACCTGCATGGCCGTATTAAAATTATCTTCTCTAAAATCACCCTGGAAAGCAAAAGCAAATTTTAGTTACAGGTTGGCTTCATTTAGTGACCGTCCTATTCAGCAACCATTCAAAGTTAAAAATGGTGCTAAAACATAAATCCACTGCCTGCATTTATGATCTTTCCTTGAAGGGACAGATTGAAGGGTCCTTCATTCACATGATCACTATTAAAATTAGTGTTCATTGTTCTGCCTGGGTTTTTTTTCTCCCCTTGCAGAGTAGAGAGATTGGAGAGGAAGGGATTACAAATGATTAAACTCTGGGCTGCCAGCACTACCATACTGTTTTCTTTGTGTATAATCCATTATGTGCTTTTTTACTCTCTTGTAATCCCTTCTCCTCCAATGAATGTAAATGCATCATTGATTCCCTTCTTCCTAATTATCCAAGCGCCAAGGTGAATATTCCGGAGGGTGACTAGAATTGATTCAACAAAATAGTAAGCATCTTAGTGTTTATAGAATTTCCATGTACTTTCTTCTTCTTTTCTAGCACTTGGCCCTGATATTTATCAATAAATTAGAGAGATCTTATAAGTAAAAGTTTGTTCCAGTGGTTAAAGCACCATGCCAGAAACCAGAGCACTATGGCTACTAGTCTCCCCCTTAGGCATGAAAGCTGTCTACATTACTTTGGGCTGGTCACCTTCTCTCAGCCAAATCTACCTCAAAGGTTGCCGTTGTGGAGAAAATGGGAAGAGGAAAGAGTATCAGGTATGTTTGTCATCTTGAATTATTTATAAAAATAACAGTGAGATAAAAGTAAATATAAATAAATAAATAAAAATTCAAAGAAACAGTTCCTTACATTTTCATCAACTACAAGGTGAAGTCCATCTCCCCCTGCTGGAAAAATATAATGTTGCAAAGGAGTTGGTCTGTAATCGGTGTAGATCACATGGCAAGGCTGGTAAAGAGAAAATAAGTTATTTAAAAATATTCTGTATGCTTTTAATATACAATATAGCATGTATTTACAATTCATAATTTCAACATTTATCCAAATGAAGATACCTAAGGCTGATAGCAGGACCCTGCAATCTACAGTTAATCATAAATCACAAATTCTCACGTTTGGAAAATGTGTATTCTTTTGTGTCTTATACAACTCTATTTTTACTTTTTTATTTTTTTCTAATTGCCAGTCTTATCACTTAATAAATAATTCACTAGAAAAATCAGAAATCAAAAATATAAATCCAATAATACACATTAGAGGAAGTTAAAACTAGGTTGAAATAATCTACTGAACTTAATTCAAGTTATTTTTACGTAAACAAACCTAGGATATCCCTGTATGTAGACATAGTTATTTCTGTTCTCATTTGCCATGTGTACTGAACTAATCAGCTTGTTTTGTATCAATCTTGTAGCTGATGCCCTCAACATGATTCCTCTCCCCTTTGGTTTTTCAAAGCTAATTCTCAGCCTACTAATTGGGTTAACATCACTGTTGCAAATAAAGGTGAAGAAGAAAAAGACATTGTACCTGTTTGTGAAGATGACATATCCATTCAGCAAACTGGCGTGCATTTGGAATAGTGGCAGAGAGAAACACATAGTGAACATTATCAGGGAGCAAAATAATGGTTTCTTCCCATACCACACCACGTTCTAGAAAACAAAAATTCACGGGACAGCATCATGTTCCTTGTACTTCTACAGACAAAAACTCAATACATAAATATGTAAATTTATAGTACCTGAATTTCTCATGTAATGAATCTCATCAAATATAACCCAAGCAACTTCACGCATAACCTCAGAACCTCTGTAAAGCATACTTCTCAAAATCTAAAGAGAAGAAGAAATGAAAATGATCTTTTAAACATTGTAAGTAAGGAGCCAAGCATTTTTGGTTGGATCTGCCCCTCACAAAGACCTCAAAAAATATGTTTGGGAAGATACTTTACTTACATCATCAGGCAGATTTTAAACTAAATGTGGAGAGGAAGGAAATCAATAAGCAGAAATACACTCAAAACATAAATCCAAAGGCAATAAAAACTAAAACAAGTAAGGAAGCAGTGAGAAGGAAAGTACAGCAGGGACACTTAGGAATGGCAGTGTAAAAAGGCTCAGAGGATGGAGAACATATGGAAGACATTTGAAGTCCTAGTAGACTGGGGGGAGGGAGAAAAATATGACAATATTCATAAATTGAATCTGGTAAGATTTATCAGCTTTCGAGACCACATAAAAATTCAGAGTGGCTTATAATTTATAAAAGAATATATGTTATAAAAGAAAGACAAGCTTAGTTGGACAAAACACCACCAGTAATATTTTTTAAAAACTCAACCCCCACCCCCCCCAACATCTGAACCCAAGGCTGGAAACAGAGCCAGGTCTTCAGAGATTTATAGAACATCTGAAAGGTAGAAACCATATGTATCTTAGGGGGATGCTATTCCAAAGGGCAGGGACAGAGACATAGACACAGAAGGCATGCTCCCTATGTCTTACAAGATGACAACATATAACTGTAAAATGTAGCTGTACCCACTTTGTTCAATTGTATGGATGGCCAGAAACCACTGAATCACCTCCAAGAGGGACAAAACTCATTATTGGTTATATATATTTTTTTAAAAGGAACTTATCTATCAAAAGGGGATGAGGGGGATGGAATCATATGTAAACAATGGTTTACATTGTACATCAAGAATGAAAATCCTGCTAAATGAATCTGGGTGAATAGTAAAGAAAAGGGAGAAAAAACAGCACTTATGTCATCCTACAGGCTACCCAGAAGATATAAATAAACATTTTGCAAATCAGATGGTCAAACTATCAAGGAAACATGCATTGTGGTAATGGGGATTGCAACAATATTGATATCAACCAAGTTGTTGGTTGGGGGATATCCACAGGTTCTTGGCATACCTTGCACTCAACCTCATTATCTAAAAGATGGAACTAAGGGAGCAAAGTATGCTGGACTTACTGCTTACTAACAGGAAAGAAATGGTTGAGGAACTTGTACGAAACATGGGAGAGAGTAACCATACAATCCTAGATCACATTGCAGGTAAGGAAGCTGTCAGATTAGTGTTCAATATCTCAAGAGAGTTGAATTCCAGAAGGTTAGAGAAAAAAAGGAAGGATTCTATGGATAAAAATCCTGAAAGAAAAATTCTCAAAAGAAAAAAAAATGGGAAGAAGCTGATGAGATCAGCATGGCTTTATAAATAACTCTTTGATAAATTGAGAAATGAGATGAAGTTTTTAAAAATAGAGGAGGATATCGCAAAGGCAGAGTATTAGGAAATAGTCAGAATCTGTAAGGATAGGGTCAAGAGCTGTGATTTGCAAAATTAACAGAAAAAGTTATTTAGACATAGGCAGAACAAGAGGAAAAGTCAAGAAAATGTCAATTTGACGATTGAAGAAGTTAGTGATTGATAGCAGGGAGAAGGTTGAACTGACTGAGTCCTATTTTGCATGCATTTTTTCAAAAGAAAAAGTCCGATTTGTCAGAAGCTGCATCATGTGGGGCAAAAGAGAAATGGTCAAAAGAGGTAAGGAAAATGGTAAAAACACATTTGCTTCTGCTTTGAAGGAATTAAAGTCACTGGTGCTGGATGAATTATATTCCAGGAATATAAGGAGGAATTGATAATCTAGAGCAAATCTGATAATCATAATAGAATGCATCAGATAAAAATAATCTTCAATTCCATATCCAAGTCATACATATTTATTATTAAACAAATTTTACCAAACTCACACATGACGACTCCAGGTGAATTACAGTATTGTTAATATAGTAAACAATATGGGACTTAGACTGAATCATATGGTATGAAATTCAATGTTTTGTATAAGCAGATACATAGAGAAGCCAAAAACTAGCACAGGAAAGTTTAACAATTAGACCTACCTCTGTGGTCATTACAAGGCAAGATGCTGTAGGATTGATGGTGACATCCCCAGTCATCAAGCCAACATCCTGAAATTCTTCATACATCTCACGATATTTTTGGTTACTAAGAGCTTTAATAGGACTGGTAAATATCACCCGCTGTTTTTCTCTTAAAGCCAAAGCAATGGCATACCTGTATTAATATGCAATATTCATTATATATTCATACACTTTGCAATATATTTCTACTGTTGATATGAAATAATTGCACAATCTGCAGAAATTTACATTTTGTTTATTATGAAATCCAATATTTTCTGGTAATGTAGCAATACGAGAACAAATAATAACACATACGAGGTCTGTTCTTATTATGAAATAAATATAAGAGTAACAAGTAGTGTGCATAGCATTCAAGCTCAAATTTGAAAAAACTGTTCCAACTTTACTACTGGTCAGAGCACTGTCAATAAAGTAAAAACATCTGATGTTGAGCCCAAACAATTTCTATTTTTGAAACATTTTATACAGTCTTAATATTAACTCACTCTATGTCACTCAATAGGAAAACTAAACTTGGATCTCTCCAGATCCAATCCAATACTATCCTAATTGCAATATTCCAATGTTAGGATTCTTGAATATTTTATTTCTTCAAGCAATACATGCAATATTATAATAGTACTAAATATTTGAAAAGAACTGTGCATTTCATAAATCTGACAGAAATGTAACACTAAAACAAATTTCAAGGACAAAAATTGTTTTGAAAAAAAATGAAGCAAGGTATGCTAATCTGTACAGCAAACTAATTTTAAAAAAGAATTAAACATCTGCCAATAATTACTCCATGTTCCCATAACTCTAAATCATTTTCTCTTCACTCCATATTGTCAGTTATTGATTTAATAAGTTTAGAAATAAAAAAACTAACTTCACATTAAATACGTATATAAAAGTATAAAAATAAAATGGAAATATAATAAATGCAGAAAGTTAATTTATTTTACCATTACTTTACTCAAGGAGAGAATTTAGTGTTTATTTTTAAATCCATCAGAGAGCTACTTACTCTGCACAAACAGTTTTTCCTGCTGAGGTATGAGCAGATACTAAAACAGACTGATTATTATCCACACACAAAATAGCTTCTCTTTGAAAAGCATCAAGAATGAATGGATATTCCTAAAAAGAAAAGAAAAAGTTTATATAAATTCCAGAACTGATTGTAAATCAGCACAATTCTTTTCCATTTATATATTAGACTGTATTGGGTTTTCTTTAAAAAAAACTTCACAATTATGTGGATATTCTGGAAATTATTATCCTCAGCAATCACAAGGCAAAAGACATTAATGTGATGGAGAAAGTAATGGTCTAATAACAACTGATAGACAGTTGATAACCACAGTTATCTTTGCCCCTCCTTTTGGAACCAAACTGCAAAAGGAATATCTTTAAAACACAAGAATTTTAATTTATAAAAGGTCTTTAAAATCTTTGCTGGAAGAATTCTCTTGTAGATGTATTAACACTATACATTCAATATAAGTGCAGAATTGGATAATCAGTGGAATTAATGTGCCCCCAGAATCAACTGAAATTGTGTGACCCACATTTAGCTATCTTCAAGTTAAATAAGCAGAGAAATTCCAATACTGTTTTATTCAAATAAGTTTCAACTATTAAAATGATGGATATTCGCATCTCAACTTCCAGATAAAACCAAAAAGATATTTATATCTAAGCAAATAACTGTCGTCTTACTTTTGTCCATTCTTCCCTATTAGCTATGCAATTTGAGAAATAAGATGTGTAAATTACAAACCTTTGCAGCTTTTCCAGTTCTTGCCTTTAGGGCTACGAAGTCCATATCTGCAGGAAGAGCAACCTAGTAAAAAAAATATTTTCCGGTCATTTATATTATTTTCCAGTAATAATGTTCCTACTGTGTTTCCTGAAAATAAGACAGGGTCTTATTTTCTTTTGACTTCCAAAATAAGTGCTTGGCCATATTTTCAGGGAGGTCTTATTATTTTTGAGGTGCAGGAGCCGGCGAGCATGGTCACCTCATGGCTGCTGCTGTGTTGCAATATTTTCAGGGGAGGGCACATGCGCTCAAAATAGCAATAGCAGTTAGACTTATATACCGCTTTATAGGGCTTTCAGCCCTCTCTAAGCGGTTTACAGAGTCAGCATATTGTTGCCCCCCACAATCTGGGTCCTCATTTTACCCACCTCGGAAGGATGGAAGGCTGAGTCAACCTTGAGCCGGTGAGATTTGAACCACCGAACTGCAGATAGCAGTCAGCTGAAGTGACCTGCAGTACTGCACTCTACCCACTGCGCCACCTCGGCCCAAAAGCCCGATTGGGCTTATTATCTGGGGAGGTCTTATTATCAGAGAAACAGGGTAATGTTCAAAGCAGAGTACATAATGTTTCCTCCTTCCATTTCTGACCCCTCCAAAAATAGGGAACATAAGCAGGCTGAGGGAGAATGACTGGCCCAAAGTTACCTAGTGAGCTTCTATAAATGACAGTACACACAAACCTGAGTTTTCCCAGCAATCTCCAATATTTTAACCACTGTATCACCTGCCTGTCTTTGTATAGAAACCAAATAATTTCAAATGATTTAAATCCATTTCTTTGTTTATAAGCCTTAACAATTACAGATTGTCATTTACTTCTGACCAGACATGTAGCAATTGTTCAAAGTTACAACCATCTAGAAAAAGGGGATTTATGACCTTGCTTTGAAATTCCAATGTTTGGGCTCCCTCAGCAACATGACATTTGAAATGTCCCACAGCCATCTTTTACGACTGCTGAAAACCAGCAGCTACTTCCCGTTTTCAGATCCACAAGGAACCACTGGTGTGCTTAAAGACAGTGATGTTCACTTAACAAGCACGGACTGGTTTAACTAATGCAAAAACACTGTAAAAATGAATCGGCTACGTGACTGACCCATTTTATGACAGTAATAACATCTGACAGTAATGGATAGCCTCTATTATGGCCATATGTTGAGAATTATCTGTAGTTTGGTTCCAACTAAGGTTGGAACCCCTCAACTTGTTCATTTTGCATTACCACTTACTTCAAGAACATTTCAAAACAGTAACATTATTAATCAACCTGATTATATGGTCTGCAAGAAACTCTTTTTCCAGAGCTGACAACCATTTCTGTTCCTTAATGACTTTCTCTCAACCTTCAGAATGCTAATGACCAGATGACTGATAATTTGGTCAATAAAGAGGTAAACTGCCCATAAATTTAATGCTTATCTCCTAGAACTAACATAATTTTATATTACCTAAATAAGAGAGATTTAGAACGCTCTATCTACCTTTTTGTTAATTAAACAGCTAAACTAATGAATATCACAATGCCAATCTCATTGCTATTTATCTCATATCTATATAAAGTGCTTGGGTTCCCTTATATTGCAGTTTAGAAATGGAAACCAGAGTATAAATATAGGTTTATGGAGATGGGACTAGGCACATGAGTTTCTTTTTAATTTCTATTTCCACTGAAGATGAACATTTAGCTCATATTATATCAGTTCAAAAATGTCTCTTCTTTTCCCCATTACTTATTCTCACACAGAAAAGCAAACTACAGCTAAGCAGTTTTCTACTCCTATTTGAAAAGTTTTTTATTTTTATTTTTTAACATACATATAATCCAAAGTATACCATTACATCTTAAGTAGTTTTCTTCTTAATAGTATTCTCAACTCAATATAGTAGCCCTATATAAAACAGCATTCATCACCACACAAATCTCACACTCACCTCATGTGTACAGCCTTCAATAGTTTCAACAGCTTGTACCTTTACTTTTGGCATCACATCTGCCAAACTGAAATGAAAACCACATTAATATATTCGTTAGTAATGAAATGTGCATGTCGTACTTTACTTTTAAAGATTAACGATGCTAATAATGATCATTATCCATACATCCAAGTCCACATTCTGGAGAGAAAGGACCACTGGTTTAAAAGAAGGATAAAAAAAGCTATATATGTTAAAACTGAACAGCCCTCTTTCAACAGAAGAGGGGGATATGGCACTACCTATCTCCTGTCTACAACTTAGTCCTTTCAGCAGTCCCAAGAAAGATTCACACCCATTTGCACTCTGATTCAGGTGACCCCAAGGGTATCCCAAGTGGCCTCAACAAACTTTCAGAGAGCTAACAACCAACCTTCAGGATGCTAATGACCAGATGACTGCTACCAGTCAGAACTGAAGAAGCTTCTTAAATGAGAAGTGAAACATCTTCAAGGGAAAAAAACAAGAAAGTCCAGTTGCCTTTTGTAAAGCATTTACTTCTTGTGGTGCACCAGGAAACTCAGCCTCGGGTGACACAAGAAGCAGCCCAAGATCTACTGTGTGCCAGAAAGTCCTAGCCCAGCATGGCCCACCAAAATGGTACCAGCTTCACACAAAATGGTCTGGTTGCCAGCTTCTGCGAAGTGTTTCTTGGCAAGAAGAGCCAGGCTAGGTACATTTCATCAGCAATGGGAGAAAGAAGACAGGAAGGTCAGATGAGGCAAGAGAGTCTATGAGGCAAAAAAAGAGGCATAGATGGGGAGAAATAGGTAGCTGGAAGTAGTTGAAGTTCCTCTGTGATCATAAGTGCAGGCAAGTGCCCAAATTTTGACCACATGATAGTGGGGGTGCTGCAATGACTATAACTTCAGGTTGTAAATTCCTTTGTTTAGCAAACAGTTGCTGAACGAATGGTCAGAGGTCAAAGACTACCTGTATTTTTTACTTTCTCTAAACATTCAAAACATTTCACATACATTTTTTCAGCAATTTTTTGCATCAAGTCTTGAAGACACCTGGAGTAAGATTTATTCTACTCACTGGGAACAATGAAAAATACAGAACTGCTTAACAAATCATTTCTAATACAACCAGTGTTAGATGATAAAACAGTTAATAGCTTCTAATATATGTCTTTCTACAGTATTTTTTGTGCAGTTGCCCATCAATCATTCCTATCTCTTCTATTCTTAAAAAAAATCATAAGCATTTCCAAGCCTAATATATACAACTCATTCTTACTTAAGATCGTCCGTAGAGATGTCATCCAACTTTGGTCTCTTTCCCAAATCTGTAATATCTGCACCACTAAATTCTGCATCACGTTTTTTTTTGGCTTGGATTTTTGCAGGCACCACAGGTTTGCCATCTCGTTGTTTTCTAAATGGAAATATTAAAAAATAGAGACCAGGAATCAGCTCTGATGAATCACATAAGAAAAGCCCAACATATTAACAAACTCTGCTCAAATATCCAATATTACAGTGATGAAATAAAAATTCCCAAAAGCATTATTCCCCTTGTACATTACCTCTTAACGGTGCCCAAACAGGAAAAAGTACCATCATCTTTCTGAATAGGTTGCACTACAGCAGAGGTGTCAAACTCAATTTCATTGATAGCCGCATCAGGGTTGTGTTTGACTCAGGGGACCGGAGTGGGTATGGCCAGGGCCAGCTCGACATCACTTGTGTCAGGGGTGCCTGTGGTGTCCTGAGCACTCTGCCAGTGAAAAACCCAAACAGGCTCCCGAGCTCTGTTTTTGGATGCAATGGTCTCTCCCAGCTAAAACGAAACTTGCGAGGGTTGTGCATAGCGCTCCTGAGCTGTGTTTTGGCTGGCAGAGGCATCATGGGCCAGATACTTTGCTGTTTTCAGGGTGGCCCCAAGGTCCAGATTTAAGCACTCTGTGGGCCAGATCTGCCCCCCCCCCCGGCCTTGAGTTTGACACCCCCTGCACTATAGCATAAAGAAGGGAGGAATCAATTCCCCAAATGTGTAATATTCATCTGAATACCCCACTGGTGGTATTCAGCAAGTAAACAGGAACACTCAAGACAGGAAGAACCTCTGTTAATTGGAATTTTGGGACCTGGAAGTATCACACACCAAAGGATGTTTCCTGGAGGTCAGATGTGGAACACACTATCCTCCATACCCGTTTCATTTATTTATTTATTTATTTGTTTGTTTGTTTGTTTTGGCAAGTGTGTATAAGATAATAGATATAAGTACATACAAGGTTATAAATACATGAAATGGATACGAATAAAAGGGGTTGTTAGGACAGGGACAGTGGGCATGTTGATGCGCTTATGCCCACATTATGACTTTTAGATTTATATCACAGCTTCAATCAGTTTGCAGAAGGTTCAAAGTGGCAGCCTCCCTTTATTTTATCCTTCACAAGAACTATGTAATATGGTATAGTTGATGCGCTTATGCCTGCATTATGTCTTTTAGATTTATATCACAGCTTCAATCAGTCTGCAGAAGGCTCATATTAGCGGCTCCCTTTATTTTATCCTCCACAAGAGCCACGTAATACGGTAAAGTGAGGGAAAGCGCCTGGCACAAAAGGTCATTTGGTGAGTCCTGTGACTGAACCTAAATTCCCCAATCCAACAACAGAAAAACTAAAAACGAAACAAGTTGGCTCTGTATCCCGCACATCCTGGTCCCATGTGGATAAAAGAAAGTAAATCGGATATGAAATCAAGACCTGTAGGGAGCTCCTTTTTTTCTCTCTTTTGGTTCTTAGTACTAAGAAAAAAACTGTAGTGCCTGCCTTTAATTACTTCATGCTTGACGAAATAAATAAATAAAGATATTCACGTTTACTACTAGGAAGAGATCCCGTCCCTAATCTCTTCAATCCCGCACTTGGTTCCTCACCCTGACTTGTTTGAAGTGATCGCCTCAGGTGTCCCCTTCGTTTCCTTCAAGCCAGAAGCGGAGGCGCCATCGTCTTCGAACACGCTGAACAGCTCATCGCCGAAAGCGTCCGCCATCTTTCCCCCGCAAGCTCGGCAACGGCGGTTCCACCAACCACAACAACCCGCCACGGGGAAACGACGACAGAGTAAAGGGCTAGAGCGGCTAAAGCCAAACTTCCGGTGGACGTCGACGTCCGCCGGTTGCTCATAGAGATAACAAAGGGAGGAAAGGCATACTCCCCATTTTTATTTCATTTTAACATGACTTTGATCACAAACCTTCCCCGCCAAATTAAAATCTTAGTAAACAAATATAACAGAAAGGATTTCTCAACCCATGAGATAGTTTTATCTCTATTTTTTCTAGAGCTTTGAAGAGCGAGAAAGCTTAAGTTAGACTCTAACTGACAGAGGTCTTCAAACTTGATAACTTTAAGATTTGTGGACTTCAACACCCATAATTCTGGAAGTTGAAGTCCACAAGTCTTAGAGTTGAGTTTTGGGCGGAAGTCGCTGCCTGTCCCCTTCCCCTGATCCAACGGCGATGGGCGATGACGTCCTCAGCCGGCGCTCATTCCCGGATGTAAGCAGAACCGGCGTGAGAGCTTTGTCGCGAGCCCATCTCGGCCATGGGTGGCAAGAACAAGAAGCACAAGGGCGGCAGCGGGGCGGCAGGAGCGGGCGCCGTCCGTCCCGTGGCGGTCGCAGCGGCTCGGGCTAAAGCTGTGGGCGCCGCCGCGGCTGAATCGGGCGCCGCCGGAGAAGCCGCTTGCAAAAGACCTCTGGTGCCCCGGCCGAGCCCTGCCGGGAAAGACCTGCGCGTTAAGCAAGGTAGAAAAGGAGAGGCACGGAGAGCAGCGCCCGTCGCCTTTCCTGGCAGAATTCAGTGGGACTCGCTCGCTTCCTCCTGGGAGCGGTGGGGCCAAGAGGGGCAGGACGGAGATCCGCTTCCCTCAACCGAGGACTGTTGCAGGCGAGTCGGGTGGGATGTTTTAGGCTGACCCACCCGCTGGACTTTCGGTTGGAGGAGGCTGAGCTGCATCTCAGAGCTGGAAAAACAACATAGTTATCTGTTTTTAACTTGGGCTTCCTGTGCTGACACTCCAGTGTTGAAATAGGAGCCAATGGTGATTCCCCCCCCCCTTTGAAATCCAGGTTCACTAGGGGAAAGTGTGGAACATGGAAGAAAATCCCGTTCTGTTTATATTTTCCATATTTGAGCTCCATCCTATTTTAAGCTTTCTATCCTAAGGGTAGAAAATGAGAGCCCTTTCTGTTATTGTTAGTTGGTGTCCGACCCATCGCAACCCCATGGACAACGTTCCTCCAGGCCTTCCTATCCTCTACCATCCTCTGGAGTCCATTTAAGCTCACGCCTGCTGCTTCAGTGACTCCAACCAGCCACGTCATTCTCTGTCGTCCCATTCTTCTTCTGCCCTCCGTCGTTCCCAGCATGAGGCTCTTCTCCAGTCCTTCTTTCT